CTGGTGGCAACGCTTGGTATCTGTGAGATGATGCTGCTCCTTTCTGGGATGATTGTTTTTCATGTAAGGGATTGGCAGTAACACAAAAACACCATCAGCTGCTGAGTTTTATGGGACAATTAAATTCTACAGAGACAGTGTGAAGTTTTCTTGTGCTTTTCTGTGTGGTTTTTTTTTGCACTCTGAAGAAAGAAAAGAAGCAGTCTTAAGTTTAAACATACCATTTTCTGTGAGTCCTTCTGAGGCCAGCAGCTGATATCCAGGACAGTAATAAAGTGCAAAGGACAGTGGTAACTCCAGGATGACAAAGTGATCTGCATCTCTGATTATGGCCACCATAAGAAGGCACAGCCACATGAACTGCTGGAAGCACACTTGCTCTTCTTGTGCACATTCCTGTGCACACTCTGGTGCGGTTTCTGGGGCATCCAGAGCCAATTCAGCAGCACCTTGAAGGTGCTGACACCAAATATTGGGCTCTGGAGGGTCATAGCTCCCCTCGGGGCAGCAGCCAGGGCTAGGGCCGAACTGTGGCGGGGCAGGGAGGGACCCCCGGGCTTGTGGCTCACCAATAAACCTGACTCTGGGCAGGGACTGACTCCAGAATTTAGACCTTCCAGAGTGTGGTTTCATTTAAACATTTCCAAGAGAACACATCTCTAGAGCTATGGGCGGTCACACAGTAAGTTTTATATAGGAATGAACTAAAAGCACAGTTTTCACATCCAAGACATACAAATTATATGGGAAAACTAACTTCTAGAAAGGAAATTTGCATCATAAATTTTTGAGATAACTGCCCTGTGAATCAAAGAAAGCCTGGCTCTTTTAGAAACTTTTCAGCAGGAAAACCTAAATATTTCCACAAGTAAACAATACCACTGCTGGGTCCCCCAGCACCATGTCATGCACAGCATACAGCACAGTTGGGCCATGAGATGCAGGTTGAAAGGAACAACTTTTCTGATAGTATCGTAAGGATATAAAGCTAGCAGAGTATCCAAAGAACAGTGTGAAGATGATGAAGGCACAAAAGGGGAAGCTGTATGAGGAACAGCTAAGGGCATTTGCCTTGTTCAGCTTGGAGAAGAGGAGAGAGGAGGGACCCGTCATCATGGAGTGCATATTCCTCTGGAGGGACAGCGCCCGTCTCTGCTCTCTGTGACACGGACAGGACGCAGGGAACGGCTGGAGCTGGGCCGGGGAGGGTCAGGCTGGAGATCAGGAAAAGGTTCTTCCCCCAGAGGTGGGAATGAAGGTTGATACAATACTTTGCCATGTAAATAAGTATCATTTGTAGCTCCTTCAGTTGGCTGTGCCCTCTGTTATACCACACAAAATGTGACAAAATTCAGCTGCTATTTTAGAGAGAAAACACAAAGAGCCACCTCACCATATCAAGCACTGTAATATTTTAAAGCTTCCAACAAGCTCTTCTCCATTTCCAAATGCAAACATCAGCAAACACATGTTGGAAAAATCAGATGAATTGCAACACTCCCAGAATACAAATCAGCAGAAAAGACAGCAGCAAGGATTGCACACGAGGCCTTTGGAAACACTTCCTATATTAATTAAAGTCTCTCCCATGCCACGCTGTAATAGCTGAGCTTCTGCACTGCTGCACAGTTCTAGGTAGAGCAGGAAGGAGTCCACAGTGTTCATGTACAGTCTGAAACAGGGACACAGGGTTGGGCCAAAGGCTCTCCTCAGGGCTATGATGCCAAAATCCAGAGCATTGGGGCATGCCAGCAGGCCTGACAGACAGCCCGTGCAAGGAACAAGTGAGATCTGGATGCTACAGGATGGAATGGGAAGGGAGATGGATTCATTCAGACAAGCAATTAGCACCTAAAGGAAACCCACGCACAGGCCCCTTGGAGTAAAACAGAAAAGCAAAGGGGTTTTGGCAACAGCAGCAGAGCTCTCACCAATAGGAGAGCTTAGCAACAGCAGCTGACGAGGACTAAATGCTGCCACTGGATATTAGGGGAGATGAGAGGAAGGAAGAGTTTGGCTAAGCAGTCACCTCTGTTTCCCCACCACCTTGCAACAAGCAGAAAGGGCGGTTTGGTCAACAAAAATAAGAACAGCAAGAAAATCCTGCTGACTCCTCTGAGACATTGACACTCTGGTGCCTCAGTTGCCATCTGCTTGGGGGTTACTGCCAGCTCCGAGCAGTCATTCTTCATGAGTGGGTACCTGTGTGAGCAACAGAAAGAATTGGAGAGTAGAGCTCCCAGCCCACCTCAGCGCTTTGCTTTTATCCTCACGACATCAGCTCAGGTGCCTGGATGCCTTGCTGCAGCTCCTGGGCTCCAGGAGCTCTCTCCAGCACGCATCCTGCACATGGCATCTTTCTGGAGGAGCAGAGACACCAGCTGTCAGAAGTGACAGCAGAAGAAACACCTGCATGAAATGCCTCTGTAAGGGCCCAACTTCCCTGTGAGGCACGGGGTGCCCAGAGAAGTTGGGGCTGCCCCTGGATCCCTGGAAGTGTCCAAGGCCAGGCTGGAGAGGACTTGGACCAGCCTGGGATAGTGGAAGGTGTCCCCATCCATGGCAGGGGGTAGAACACAACGAGCTTCAAGGTCTCTTCCAACCCAAACCTTTCTGGGACTCTAGAATTCTCTTCAAGGCCTACAATGAGAGGTCCTTTCCACAAGCTCCATCATCAAGTGCTGTCCCCTTAACCAGGCTACCCCACTGTATCTACTTACAACCTGCTTTCCAGCCTCACTGCAGCTCCCCTTGATCTGGGCTGGCCCAGTTTCAGTAGCCCGGGACTAAAGAACCTCCCGAGTTCCACTATTCTACACCCTGTTCTTTAGGAAACTTGGGAGTCCAGTGCCTCCTAGAACAAGCCCAGGAACTTATGATCCTTGTGGATTTTATTAAGTGGTTACATGTCATTCGTGACCAAATGGAACTCAGCTCAAGTGAAAATTCAGTTCTCCAGGAAAATTGTGAGAGAGCTAATTGGGGAATTGCTTGGCACAGGTTTAAGCTCTCGTGGACAAAACCTCTCTGGGGAAGAAGGAGCCAGGCCCTAATGAACATGCTGACCAAGTTGCTCCAGGTTATCCTTGTCAACAGTTACACTTCTCAAACTGCTGTCTTGGCATCCCATCAGTATTCTGTTTTTCAGAATTTCACATCCCACTTTTGTACTTTTGGCTCCAAGACAATTGTTCCACAAAACTGGAGGCCAAAGGACACAATGTTCATGACCAGAAACTCAAATCAGACTGGAGACTTTGGGTCAGCTCATCATGCTGCAGTTTATTGTACAGGACACAGGAAGGCTACAGAGATCCTAATGTCCCGCTTTCCTAGGGGGAAAATAAACCTTATTCCTGCCCTCAATTCCATCTTTTCTATTTGGGTTGTCTGTTCTTTAGAGTTAAAAGGTACCAAGTATAAAGGATTCAGCACGGCAGCTCCTCATTTTCTAGAGGGTCTCCAGCACAAAGACAACTAAAATAACCATGGGTTAGTCACAGTTTTTTGAAGGCAAGTGAGCAAAACAAGGTATTTTAAACCGTGCCAAAAACTGATAGAAACCCCAGATAGAAAACTATATTTTTCAGAAAGCAAAGCACAAATGAGGAAGAGAATTTGGGTCTTCTTTCTCTCCCAGTATCAGACAATACAAATACAAGCACTAACAATTAATACCAACTCTTCTTCCAAAATCACACCAATTTAACTCCAGAAATGCTGGTAACTTATTCAAGGCAGAGAATGGATTTAAAGAGAGCTTACCCTGCTCCGGTAGCTGCTCTCAGATGTCAGCTGCACTCCTTTGATTTTACTGGAAATCTCCTTCAGAAGGCCTTTCAAA